AACCCATCTAAGTGGAAATCTATGCTATTTGTTCTTTTGTGACTCGTTTATTTCACTTAGCATAATGGCTTCTAGGTTTATCCATACTGGGTATTTATCTCAATTCCCAAAGAATTGAAAGCAGGGACTCAAACAGATCCTTGTACACCAATATTCACAGCAGCATTATTCTCCATGGCCAATGGTGTACCATGGCCTTGTGCACCATTATTTACTCAGCTGGCCACTAACAGCTGAGTAGAGAAGTGGAGGGTGCTGTATACACACCATGAAATATCACTCAGTCTTAGAAAGGAAATTCTGACACATGCTAAAGAAAGGGAGATGGCTGGATCATATGGTCATTCTACATTTAACTTCCTGAGGAACCATCATATCCTCATGTGATTTTTATGCGTAGCCAACCAGAAGGAACACTGCTGTGGCCAGCGTCTCTCTGACATTTTAAGAGCACTGATTGGTAGTAGTTGATAAGCATTACTGAATGAACTTCCTCATCAGTGGCATCGTAGCCCAATGCCATTGTTATTGCCACAACGTCAAACGACCGGTGGGTGGATTCATGGAGTTGGTGCCCTTTTGAAAACCCCACCAACTCAGGGCCACCGGAAATCTCACCTCAACTGTAGCTCCTCCCTTAAGTTGACACGTGTCCCCAGGGATTTGGTAGTACTGATCATTTAGGAATCAGAGTTTCTGGATGACTTGCTTTGCAGATAATAAGTTAGACCTGGTTCGGGACTCTCCCTATCATAATGCCATGTCCATCATGATATCTTGTATGATTCTATCATAACGTAGAGCTCAGCTATGTTTTCTTGAGAAGGAAAGACAGGATGTTGCACACATGAAAGTCTTCCACCTCAGAAAGCACCGCTGAACATCACTGGGAGCCCCTGGGAGTTACCCTGCCTGTGAGCAATTTGGTTTCCCTGCTGCTCCCCAGGGTACTTTTTCCTCGGTGTTTTCACACTCCTTCTTGCTGCCAACAGATTGCTCACCACTCCCATTCCTTGCCAGGAGCAGAGAGTGGAGTCAGTCCAACCTGTACTCTAAGCAGCTGAAGGAGAAATTGACAAAGACTGAAATGTATAGTTGGGTATCCCAACTAGCTCATCTGTTCAGATTAATCTATGCCCTTCACTGCCTTTGACCTGCCATTTTGCAACTTTCAGAGACAGAAGGTGTAAAAAAAAGTGATCCTAACACAAGTAATACTTAATTTTAAGTAGTAAATCCTTTCAGGGCAGGTGTAACTGACATCCCTCCCGAACTGTGGAAGAAGCCAGTTTTGCATCCATTAGGCTAATTCATTTCAGGGTCCTCCAGGGTTTGCACAGTCATCTTGTTTTTAGATCCTCCTTTGAAGTGGTCGTAACAGCTTTCTGGTTCCTTTGTTCGCTAATGTGCTAAATAAAATCTGTGACGTGTCTTAACTGTACATTTGTTGAAGTCAGGATTTTAACTTTGTTTTTAAAAAAACAACACAGCACAAAACAAAAACCCTGTCCTATTCCCAATCTGGAACACTGACACCGAATGGGGGCGGGCTAGGGGAGCAACAGCTACTCCCATTCACCGCTGGTGGGAATGCACCAGAGTACAGCTACTTCCTGGAAACATTCTAGCAGTTTCTTACAAAACTAACATACCGTGTTTTTCTGACTATAAGGAGCATCTTCAGGGAGGGGAGTGGGGAGCCCCAAATTTGGGAGGAACAATGGTTGTTAATGCTGCTGTTGAGTTCTGTTTACATTTGCATTGGTGAAATACTATGTTATTTCTGTTATTAAATATTTTACCATATTTTTTTGCTTCAGAATTTTTTTTCCTATTTTCCTTGAAAACCTAGGTCCAAAAAATACAGCGCTCTTAGTGTACAACCCAGCAATCATACTCCCTGATAGTTACCCAAACGAGTCCAAGACCTTTGCCCACACAAAAACCCGCACACACGGACGTTTGTAGTAGCTTTATTCACATTTGCCAAGCTTGGAAGCAACCAAGATGTCCTTCAGCAGGTGAATGGGTAAATTGTGCTACAACCAGACGATGGAATATTATTCAGAGCTAAAAAGAAATAAGCTATCAAGCCATAAAAAGACATGAACGAAACTTAACCACATATTACTGAGTGAAAAAAGCCAATCTGAAAGGGCTGTGTGATTCCAACTATATGACATTGAAAAAGGCAAAAATATGGAGACAGTAAAAAAGACCAGTGGTTGCAAAGGGTTGGGAAGGAGAAGGGATGAATAGATAGGGCATGGAGAATTTTTAGGACAGTGAACATACTCCGTATGATAGCATAATGAGGGATACATGTCATTATAAGTTTGTCTAAACCCATTGAATGTACAGCAGAGAACCTGGTAAATATGCATTTATGGTATTACAATGCACCAGGGTAGGGTCATCAGTTGTAACAAATGTACCATACGACTGTAATGGGAGGTGTTGATAATGGGAGAGGCTATGTGTATGCGAGGGCAGAGGATATATGGGAAGTCTCTGTACCTTCTCCTCCATTTTGCTGTGAACCTAAAACTGCTCTTTAAAAATAAAGTCTAGCCCTGGCCCATGTGGTTCAGTGGATTGAGTGCTGGCATGCAAACCAAAAGCTCGCTGGTTCAATTCACTATCAGGGCACATGCCTGGGTTGTGGGCCAGGTCCCCAGGTGGGGACATGCGAGAGGCAGGTGATGGTGGTTTCTCTCCCTCTTTCTCTTTTCCTTCCCCTCTCTCTAAAAATAAATAAAATAGATTTAAATAAATATTATTAAATAAATAAAGCCCAGCCCCAGCCAGTTGGTGAGGCATCATCTCCTGCAAGTCGGGGCACATGCCTGGTTTGTGGGTTGGGGTGTGTGCAGAAGGCAGCCCATCGATGTTTCTCCCAAACACCATTTACCAGTATTTGGTACAGAGCCTGGCACAGGTAGGCACCCAGTAAATATTTGTTAATGAATGAGTAAATGCAGACAAGTGCATGTAGTTAGTCTTTGCATTAGTCTTTGTCATGCATGATTCATTATGGAGGAAGAGTGTGAAATACTCGTGAAATACCTAGGGACTATTCCAAAGTCAAAATCAAAATGAAAATATTCTCCTCAACCTTTTGGAGATGCCAGCAAGAATGGGTTGTAAGGGATGTGGAGATTCTTGTGGCTGAGAGTCGACTCAGCAGCCTCCACCCAGAGGTTGAGTCCAAGATCACACAGGTGCAGGGCATTGAAGAAGGGAGGGAGACAAGGAATGTCGTTCAAGTCACAAGACCCATGTGTCCTTTCCCTCTGTAGTGTACCAAGACCTGCAGGTTTTATCCTGAGCTGGGCCCCTGAAAACCTATACAGATAGGAGCTAGTATGTTGTTCTGGCATTTTTAGAGTTAAAGTACTATCTAGGGACAAATTGTGTAAAGGAAAAAAGAAATCTGAGTCAGTTTCCAGGTCTGTGAGTGTCTTAAAGATTACATCAGTAGATTTCCATAGAATGAAACCACAAGCTTCCTGCCAATGGATTCACAAAGATCTGTGTCACTTTCAGCTAATGAGGAAGTGTTCCTTTATCTACAGGTGTGCATGGACTTTTAAGGAGCATTTAAAAGCCAGATATCCAGTCTGTTTTTCTTATATTTATATAAACATATATGAATATGTTGGCTGGTCTATAGAAAAGGAAGCTGAATTGCTGTTTATTATGGTGTTCCCAAAATTGATGTGGCAATTTTGAGAGTACTAATACACACTGCATTACTTCTCCCAGACCTAGGCAAACTGAATATGAAACAAGCTTTTGCATTTGCAAGTATAATAGCTTATACTTGCAAATAATAGCTAATCATTTATTAGCTGCTCTGTGCCAAGCAGTATCAAGTGCATTACATACAATTCCTTTGATTCTGGTAACAACTGTCTACATTTTCAGTTCCATTTTAACAGATGAGGCAGAGAATTAAGAAACTTATTCAGGGTCTTAAAACTAGAATCAAGCAGATCTTCCTGAATACAAAGGTCATGTACTTAGCCATTAAATTGCATCCCGAACTCTGTAGTTAAGAGTAATGAAAAAATACAGTAATTGCTTGTGCTAAAATGTGGTGGAGGCTGTATATAAAGCAACTAACTACCTTGCCAACAGCTGAGAATTTGAGTGTACAACTTGGTGCTGCAGAAAATCCTGCTGTCCTGCAATGAAAAAGCTAATGCACCAGAAACTGGGCCAGGAAACCTTGTGTCTGGGAGCTATCCGCTGCTCACACTTTGTAAATTGTTGCTTTTGTCCCAAAACGACACTATAGTTTTCAGCGGGGCAACGACCTTGAACATTGATTGCTGCGATTGGGAGAGCGAGTTTAGGTGCAGTCAGCGATCATCACATCTACCCCGGACCCTTCCAGGGGAGGGCAATCTCTATAAGGTTGCCTGCTTTAATTTATGAAGAGTGTGGGTGGCAATCTGACCTGGGAGGAAACCAGGCGATTCCTGCTAAAAATAATAATAATAATAATAATAGTAGTAGTAGTAGTAATTTCCAAGATGTTTAAAATACGCCACAGCCCAGTTTTGTTTTGTCTCGTTTTTTTATGTCTAGGCACAGATTTCGGACAATTTTTCTTAAGTATCTTGAGTCTAGCATCACTTCCCTTAACAATGGCACACACGTCAATCCCTAAAACAAGGAAGCCTCCGCTAAGGTTACCCAATGCGGGAGCGGTGACGTCGCGGGGCACACGCAAGTCACTGAATCAGCCGAGCGCCGCGCTGAAGCAAGGGGCCGGGGCCCGCGGCGAAGAGCCCGAGCGCTCCCTTCCTGGGCATGAGGCAATCCTCCTCCCACGGTCTCGGGAAGCCCCGACGCCGCACGCTCCCTCGCCGTGGAGGAGCCGCCCGGGCGTAGTTACTCCACCGCTTCCTCCACCAGCGGCAACCGCCCGAACCGTCCTGCTGAACTAGGACTCCACCTCCCTAGGTTTGAAGCGCGCGCCTCCGCGGAGGAGTTGATAGGAAGCGCCGGGTGGCCCGCGGCGGCGCGCACGCGCGCGCAGTGGGCGGCCCCGCCCCTGCCCAAGCACCGCCCCCTCGTCACCGCTGGCGCGGCCAGTCCACCCAGCTCCCGGCAGCAAAGCCGTGTCGCCCGGGCCGGGAGTGGAGCTTCCTCCTCCCTGTGCGGTGCTGCGCCGCCGGTTTGTCCTTCCGCCCCTGCCTCCGCTGCGCCGGAGCAAGCGAGGGGACGAGCGGAAGGTGCGCTGGAGCCCACGCCCGGGATGCGGCCGGCGGGAGCCGCGGCAGTCGCGGGGTCGCCTGCACGGGACATGCCGCAGTGCGGGGAGCCGCAACAGGCCCTGTCGCCCCCGGCCTCCCAGCTGCCTCTGGTCGCACCTTCGGGGACGCTGCTCCCCGCTCCGGGCAGCGCGACGATCAGCCGTCTTCCCGAGCCGCTGCTGCGGAGGCTCAGTGGGAGCTTGGACCGAGCGCCCGAGGGTCGGGGCTGGAGGAGGCTGGCGGAGGTTGCGGGGAGTCGGGGGCGCCTCCGGCTAAGGTGAGGTGCCTGGGGTTCGGGGCGGGGGGCGCGCGAGCACCGTGCGGTGGGCACTGGGGTGGGAGGCCCGAGGCTGGTTCTGCAGCGCGCCGTGGCCTCACTGGACGTACAGGGGCCGCAGCGGTGTAGAAGGAACGCCAAGGAAAGGACTCGGGGAGCACTTCGGTAACCTTGCAGAGAGAGCTTTAACCAGGAAAGTGCTGGGCGTGCGAGAGGTTTGAGATTGGGCCCCGGTGTTGACACCCTTTCCCTCCGCTTCTCCCCTGGGGCTGAGAAAGAGAAGTGGAGGTTGACCGAGAAGGCTATTGAGAACAGGAAGGCTTTCTGGGGACCAAAGGGATACGGACACAGGCATGGGAAACCTTAGGAAGGTTAGGAAGACGTGCTCGTAAAGAGACAATGAGAGGGAAGGGTTTGGGGTGCAGGAGTTCATGATGAAGCTTCTTATGTGAGGAGAGAAGGATTTGGGGAAAGACTAAAGCTACACTCCCCATCTTCCTCCATCACACCAGCTCACCAGGTTGGCTTCTTGGCCACACTCTGAACATTAAACTATAAGTGAAACTATTTTCCTCTCACCAGGCTTGGAACCGCTGTACTGGTGGTTCTTGAACTTTTGGTCTCAGGATTCCCTCCAGGGGTGTCCAACCGTGTGGCTTCCCTGGGCCACACTGGAAGAAGAAGAGTTATCTTGGGCCACACATCAAATATATTACCATGCATAATCACACACCAAAAAATCTCATAATGTTTTAAGTAAATTTACGATTCTGTGTGTTGGGCCGCATTCACAGCCATCCTGGGCTGCAGGTTGGACGCCCCTGAGAAACTCCTTAAGAATTTTTGAGGACCCAGAGAGTTTTTTGCATGGGTTCTATATATTACATACATACAACACATATTGATTTTTGCCATGTTAGAAATTAAAACTAAGAAAACCTTTAAGTATTAACTTACTTTTAAAAAATAACCCATTGCACAAAAATAACCCCAAAAGAAATAACATGTTTTTGTGGCAAAACAAACTTTTCCAGAGCAAAGACGAGTAAAAAAGTGGCATTGTTTGCCATTTTGCAGACCTCCCTGTCTTGGCTCCATTGCAGAGAGCTGGCTCCGTTTATGCGCTTCTGCATTTGGTCTGTTTCGCCTTCACAGCCCGTGTAACGCCAGATACTCCAATGAATGCTCCTGGGGAGAGTGAATGAAAAATATAAATAACATAGTGTTATTTGGAAAAATCGGGGTGACCCTGTGGATCCTGTGAAAGGACCTCCACACCTGCACAGGGGGTTCCCAGAACACACAGAGAAGATCTCCTGCTCTTCACCGTTGTTAAGATTTGGGTCTCTCTTTGCAGTGCTTTTTAACTTCTCATACCACTGAACTTTGTGTTATACTATATATTGTTTACATATTTCTTTATAAACTCCTCGAGAACAGGAATTATTGCTTAAGATTCTATGTATCATGCATAGAACCTATCTCAGACTCTCTGAATACTTTTGAACTAAGAGGAGAGAGATTCATTCAAAATTACATTTACTGAGTGCCTGTTATTTGCTAGAAGTTCCAGAAGATAAAAGGATGATGAGTATTTAGTTCCTATTCATAAGGGCTTAGTAATGGACTCATTCTGCAGCATTCACAAGTAACATGTAGAATGCTATGTTGGTTATCAAAAATACTGACAAATTTTTATGATTTTATTAACCACTTAGTAGATACCAATGTACTAAGCGTTTACATGCATTATCTTCTTTACCCCTCACAATAATGTTGAGTTTCAGAGACATTGGGTTAAACCAGAATCATGGTGATTGGGGATGATTTGGCCATACGGAGGAGTCACAGTACAAGGGTGGAACCAAGACGTGAGTGGTAAGCTCACGAAGTTGAGCAGACAGCTTTTTTTTTTTTTTGCCTCTGCTATGCAAAGAAAATCCAAAATACTATTATTTTAGGTCCATAGATTTCTGAACTTCTAGACTTACAATGATGTAAACAGTTGTCTTCCTTGGGGGTCGAATCACCAGGTCTGGGATTAATTTGTAATATTGTCTAGTCCTCTCGTTAGGCCTCAGGCTTTCCTGAAGAGGGTTCCTATTTGGTGATGAAGCAGAGAGAAGACATTAAGGCTCTGCCACTGCAGAAGCATGGCTGCTGGGCTTTAAAACAGTGGATACCTGACATCACGTGTTCAGTTTTCCTTCCTAAACCTTTGGTCAAATTTTGTTAAAGGCTACAGAATGATGTTAGCTTTCTCTCCTGTCTAGTGAAGACACTGTAGAGAAAAGGGCAGTTGCCAAGAAGAGGTGACAGGCAAAAAAAGGGCATGCCTAAGTGAAATCTGGGGACCTCAGGGTGGGAGTCTGACAAGAGATAAAGTTTCACTAGTCTTCCAAGATGCTGAAGGTTAGTGCATAGCAGGCTAGTTGCAGTGAGGGGTGTCAGGGCATCCTGAAGGCTGGGAAACTGAAGAACATTAAGCTCATCTACCTATTGAAATCAGACTTAAACTGATGGATTAAGAGATTAGTGCTGGGAACTTGAGGGCTAGAGAATGACAACTGAGGTAAGGTCATTCAACCAGCAAGTTAAGCTAGTGATGCTTATTCTATTTAACACACACAAAAAAAGAGTTCTTTTAGAGTCATTTCATACTAATAGCAGGAGAGCACCTATAACAGTGCAGGGCTCTAGAGGTATCTTTCTCCAGAGTCAAACCTGGGAATTGCATGAGAGTCCCAGTAGGTAGCAGTTCCCAGAAAAACGGAAGTGCTTTCTTCCGAGTCTCTGGATTCACAGCCCCAAAACCTCAAAAGGTTGCCTATTCTGGTTCTTTCCACTTGTTTCCGACTCTCTCTCCTTCCTCAAACTAGATGAGAATAAAGAAACCACAAGCCTCTGTTCTGAACTGCCCATCAGGAATTAGAAATAATAATTGTAAATGTTTCCAGGTGGTTCCTCATGACTCAGAATAAATCCTTGCCTATATAGTTTAGTTGCCCACAACCATGTCCACACAGAGATGCCCTAAATACAAACTCGGACCTAACTGCAGGCCAGGCTGAGCTGATACGGACACTCTGCTGTCGGTGTACATGGGCCTGCGTTCTGAGGGTCGTGCCCAAGCCACCTAAACTCTGTGGTGGCCTACACCACAGGAGCCACGGAGGCCACAGAGCTTCCGGAGGCACCAGTTTGCCGCCTGAAATCCTTGAAGGAGGAAGCTTAGAACCTGGACGGAGGAAAGCAGTTGGTCGTGCACACCTGCTGTGTGTCAGGTGCTCCTGTAGCTGCAGAAACCTGCCCTCAGGGAGTTCGTGATAGGAAGGAGAACGGGTGTGAATGGCTGGAAGGGGAGCGCTCCCCCATCGCCATCCCTTCTGTCTCTGGGGGCCCTGAACTCAAGTGCCTTAGGGCTCAGGCTTTGCCTCTCTTCATCCACACTTCACCTAGTCCCCTTCTCAGTGTTTCCTTTCGTCTCCTGGCCACATCTGTCTAGGCCAGCTGCTCTCAATTCATGTCTTAAATGCACATCTTTGTTGTGAAGTCCCCGTTCATGTGTGTAGAAGACTATTTGCCATTCCTTCTGTATTGATTAATAGACATGTTAAACACAGCACATCCAAAATTTAACAGAAGACTCTTTCTTTTGTAGTTTTCTGCATCTCAGTCAGTGGCAACTGCATCCCTCCAGTTGCTGGGGCCCAAAACCTTGGAGTCTTTCCTGGCTTCGCTTTTATACACCACTTCCATTTTCTCAAATACCTTGTCTGCTGTCTCTTCTGTGAATCCAACCTTGGTGGCTACAGCACCAGGGCGAGCCACCGTTCTTGCTCACCTGGATTATGCCAGCAGCTGCCTAGCTTCACCTCCCGCTTTGTCCCAGTCTGTTCTCAGTACGTCAGTAAGAATGATTGTTTTAAGACAGCACATCAGTCTTAGCCTTCCTCTGCTCACAACGCAGGGTAGACACACCATTTAGCTAACATTGACTCTTGGGCCTGGTATCCCATATTGCCTCCCTCCCCTTCCCCGCTCTTGTTCCAGCCTGCTCTCTGGCTTCTCCGTGAAGACTGTATATCTTTGTGCTGCTGTTTCCTCAGCCTGAGTTGGTCTATAGAGATGGACCTTGTGACTTGCTCATTCACCCCTTCAAATGTTTGCTTAAAAGTCACCCTCTCAGCCCTGGCCAGGTAGCTTATTTGGTTAGAGTACTGTCCCCATCCACCAGGGTTGCAAGTTCAATCCCCAGTCAGGGCACATACAAGAAACAACCAGTGGATGCATAAATAAGTAGAACAACAAATTGATATTTCTCTTTCTCCCTCCTTCTCTATTTTCTAATGTCAGTTAAAAAGTCACGCCTCTCAATAAATTCTCGTCTGATTGCATTATTTAAAATTGCCCCCTACGTCCACGCTCTGCTCCAACTTTGCCTATCTCTCTGCTTTGCTTGCTTTTCTCCACAGCATCAGTGACGATCAGGCGGATGGATATACAGAGAGATCTGTGTGTGTGTGTCCTCCTCCTACAAGTAAATTCAGCGGGAGAGGGAATTTTGTTTTTTGCTGGTATTCTACATATCCTCAAAACCTAGGGAAAAAGACTGGCCTATTTTACATGATTAGTAAATAGTTGTTGACTTAAGGAATAAATATTCCAAAGAGTAAGTATATCAAAAAGAGAAGCAAAAGAGCCTACAAACAGTGCCATAGTTTGTACCCTAAAGGGTGAATAATATGTTTTCTTTGATTATATACCTTTAAACATAAAGATAAGTATAGGCACATTTTTTTTAATGTATCAGTAAGAGTCTTTTTGTTCAGTAAGAGTCTTTTAATTCATATCAGAAATTCCAAATTAGGACTTGGTAAAACCACTTCAAAGCACAGTCTTACAGGAATGTAACTAAAAAAGAAATAAAAGTTGGGTACACATAAGCATTATCTCAGCTGAAAGCCTGTGCTCGTGTGGAAAATTCGTAAAAGGAAAGC